GAAGGTAGGTTTAGGCTTAGAGAGAATAAGTTTTTAAAGCCATCACCCCTATTATACAATAAATACAGTATTAAAATAGAGAAAAATCTCTCTACTTGGATATTTTAAATGAAAGAACCCAAAATCCGTGTTAAGCTATAGTTGTTAACAAAAATGCAATTTCAGAGTCAAAAAGGCATAGAACATATACCTTTTTTCTCAGGGAATACTCTATTTTAGTCATAAAGTGAACGAAAATGATTCACCTTATACCCCCTTTAAAGCCTAATCCAACAATGATGGAAAATAACAGCAAAGTTTTTGTGCCCATTCCGTCACCAAGATTCATTTATGACTGACTTAGGAACAAATTTTTTAGGGAACTACAAACAATGTCAACAGTCTAGTTGAGGAATCAGTTGATCTCGAGGCTATATAGAGAAAATGGTCTACTCTGGTAAACAGGTCATACTAACTGAACAGGACTAAGCACGGCGCAGGTCAGATGCAGAGGTGTGTTCTTTAATGCATATATCTGCCCCTATCCTCTATTTCCTTTTCCTCTCCTCTCCAGAATGTGTGCATCTTACCTCAGTTTTCTATATCATAAAGATATGCTTTCAGGTTTATCCTACAAGAATATAAGGAATCCACAGTTTCATAAAAAATATCAGCATCCAATTACAATTCTTGTGTACTAGTTTAGAAAGGCAAGATGACCTCCTATTAATATAGAAAGAACCAAGAGATCTTTATTTTTCCTACTGTTACACTGGTTTCTATGCTAAATGTCTTTAGAAAACAAGTGGTATGAACTGAAATTGCCCCTTTAAGGACTGAAAAGTCTCTAAACCTGTACCTCACCTACAAATTTATTGCTTGACACTGAGGGAGCAAGAAGACTAACAGAAAGTAACAGTGTGACCAGCATAGCAACCAATCACTTCCAATACTTCACCTCATTCTCTGTAGTACCCATTTATTTTGAATAATCCACATTTGCAGCACATTACAGATTATGGTTTCTTACTCAAAGCAGCTGTGCTAATGAGGTTTTGAAAAGTCTGGATAACAACAGAAGTAGTTATGGGTTTTTTCTGCTTGTAGGTGTTGGAACAGTAACTTGGAGTGAGTACCTAAGTATGTCCAGAAAGGAGAAGTGAAGCAGAGCTACTCCTCCACACGAGTAATCCTTGCAATCTGATTCCTCTGCAGCTCAGAAAAGCTATTTCAGTCACCAGATCACTGTCCTGAGGGGACAAAAAAACTTGAGGAAGAGCTAATAAATAATAATAACAATATCTACTTCCTGGTGGTCTGAGTGTTAAGGCTGTAAGCAATACAATCAGATCCAAAAGAATCAGAAGGAACAAGGTATCACTATAAAAAGCTATTTTTAAAAATGTGTTTGAAGTTATTAATGTGGTGTATTTTAATTAAAAATAATTAGAATAGCTTATTCTATAACATTGAAGTTTACATAGTTATGACTCTATATAAACTTCTATCTCTAATGTCTATAACTCTAATTTAATTAAAAATAAAATTTTAATTCTGAGATTGCTGAGTACATCTACACAATATACTGTGCCCATTTACTCCAAGTGTATGGCATATAGCCCACTAATACAGTTTTCAGCTACAGGGATTTGGTCAAACACTCCTCTTGCTGTTTTGAGGGCAGCATGTTATATGTCTATTCTCTTAATGTTATTCTAACTGCTGTGCAGCACCATTGTTGCATGAGTACTTAATTTCAGTCATACCACACCATTTTGATATCAAAGTGAGGAACAACATGAAAAGTTGTATTCAAAACTTTGGACTGTAACTGGGTGTACCTCCTGCTCATAGCAAGGTAATGAAGACTTTTTTTTTTTTGAAAGCAATGTGAAGTTACAATCTGTAATACCTGCCCTGGAAGCTGGGGTATGTTAAATTCCCCTTACTATCAGTGGCTGGTGCCATGAATAAACTCAGAAGTACTGTCTTCACACCTGAATTTGCATCAATCTAGTTATGTTAGATTCTGACTAATAATGATTAACGGCCTTCAAAGCAGACAAAGCCTCTATGTAAATCTTTGTAAAAACAGAAATCTCAAAAATAAAAAGATAATAGTCACTGGTCAGTGAGGTGATGGTTATCGTCACCTCAACAACCAGCTTGTCTCATTTACAATTACACAATGAACTACTGATGTATTTTTCTTTCTCTGGCCAATGTTTCTGAGTTATGTGCATAAAAAAGAAAGGTGCCAGGAGAAAGAGTCATGTCACTGCTTGCTGCCATGCTGCAAATGCCAGTCATTACAAGTGTCACTAATGAGATCGTCCTCATTCTTCTTTCTCCCCACCTGGAATCTACAGCCAAGTCAGAAGACATGCTGCAGAGTTAATGAGCGCTGTGAAATTTGCTCTAATTTTAAGAACAAAAGAACTCACACATGACTAATATGGCCAGACAACAGAAACCTGCCTGAGGTGAAAGGTAAAAAATGCACTAGTTCTCAGGAAAGCAAGAGTGGGAGGAAAGGTGCTGGCAGAGGCATTTCAACCCATTAACAAGAAGTATATTCTTACTAGCTGTACTCAGCTTTTTCTCTGTAACATCTCCTGACTGGCTAACTAGTAAACACAAGAGAAAATGGAAATAATTTTCTGCCAAACATGCACAGCTGTAGGTCCACCTCTGATGATTCATCAGCAGCACCAGGCATCTGCCAATTTTGTCTTTTTTAATTTTAATTTAGGATGGATCTAGAAGTGGCAGCAATTGCAGTCTATGAGGGGAAAGGAGCCCACAGCACGTAAGGAAAGCAGCAGACAAGACAATAGTAACTATTTCAGTGCATAGATGCTCAGTTGGATGTCACAGCTTGCATTTACAATGACTAATCAGTAAATTTGAATATGATACTCAGTATAGAAGCAGTAAGTTAGCAATAGCAGAGTACTGCAAATTATGTTTCTCAAAATATAAAACGTTTTATAATCCATAGCAACTTCCTTGCTAATAATAAAATCGGAATGAATTCTGCATTCAGAATTTCAGTGAAATTACATACTGAGTAAACAGGTGTAGAATTTGGTCCAAAATATTTCCTTGTACTGTGTTCTGATCTCATCTGTTCGTTCACAGGCTTTCACCTCCCTTCTTTCTCCAGATGGAGAGCAGAACAACACACAGGCAAGATCACAGTTTCTTTTAGAAGAGTTCATGTACTCTGATGACGAAGCCATTAAATTTGTATCACACTAACAAAGAGACAGGTCTTCTCTTCAAACCACAGTGAGACTATCCCAAGAAAAACAAACCCTATTCCATCCACTATCAGCAGTCTCTGTGAATGCAATATGGGGAAAAAAAACAAATAACTGCTTGCACAACTTACAGAAACATTTCAATTCACATGTTTTCCTCTATCAGTGGAGAGAAAAAGGTATACTCCAATTTCTTTGAATAATGAAACAGCACTTCACTGAATGTTCCATTTGTTTCAATTTTTTTTGTTGACTTAGCTTTGAGACATGAATCATGTTAAAATATTAACTTAAATACGTTTACTTACTGTGACAACAACATATTGCATGGCTTACAATATTAGACTATTCTGACATTTTAAAAACATCAGTTAAATGGTCCCAAATGAGTGTTTTTTTCTGAAGGCCTATTTTACAGGAAATATGTTTTCTTCATCTCAGCAACAGAAACAAATATTGAAGAACTGTATCTGTGGAAGAGAATTTTTTTTGACCTTTACATTAATACAGTGCTTTAAAGAACATTTTAGAAAATGCACCAGCTGTAGAGTGTCAAATGTAATATGAAATCTGAATTACAAAGAAAAGGAGCAGTTCCAATATATCCTGAAGTCTCAGGGAATTTCAGCTAAGAGGTTTAAATTGTAGTTGCTTTAATTCATTTGAAGCACAGTTCTGCTTACTAAGTTTTGAACTTAGAAGTAGTTCATTAATTTTTCCCTGTGCTCCATAAATAAATGTTTTAACCATTTCAAGCGTACTAATTGAAAATATTTGTTTAAAGAGTTTGGAGAGCAACTAAAAAAAGGAACAAGAGAAACTTCATATTACCTTAAAATAAAAACATAACTGAGATCTGTTCAACAGTATTTGACTAATGTATGTACATGAACTGATCAAGTCTGTCTCATGCAAGTAATATCCCACCTTCAGTAACTATGTGAAATTATCTTCTAGTTTCCTGTGACTTTTCAAGCTGAACTTTCAAAACTACAGCTATCTATTAGCTGCTGGTTTCTGCTGCTGGCCAACAAGATTAAACAAGCATCTCACTTGGCAATTAAATAAGACACCTAACTGTTTTGCTAAACCAAAAACTACCCTGGGTTCCTTGCACTTGAAGGTGAGAAAAGGCGAACAGCTTCTGAAAGAAATTTTCTGACTTCACAAAAGAACCCTTTTCATTCAAGGCAAATGAAGAAAAGGCTTTGGGTAAATAAAGAACCATGCAATGGTATTACTGAGAACCACATCAGAATGATACTTTACCCACTGAGAGTTTATAGTGCTCACTCCTTTTAAATCCACCCCAGTAATGGTAACTCATGACATTTATGCACGATTATCATTAATGAAAAAGTAATATGTACACAGCAACAAACGGAAATGCTTGTACATATGTAACTAATGCTATAATCTCATCAAAGCAAATAAGAAACCAGTGAATACATTCAAAAAAACTGTTACTGAGGCATTAAAATTTCTCATAGGCATAGTGGTGACATTGATAGCTACTGCTTTTAACTGAAAAGATTCATTATGTAATTATTCAAGTGACTCCAATGCACAGTAGCAGGAATAGAAAATTCTGTAAAACTAAATACTTCATTACATTACTGACCATGTTGTTTTCATCTTTTTATCTTGGTAGAACTTTCAAAAAGCTTTCATAAAGGAACTTTCAATATTAGCATTCACTACTTATGCATGGAACAACATGGCAGAAAGTGTATCTCTGATGTCAAAGAAGTTACTTACAGGTAGTAAGTGTAGGAGTGATAGCTTCTTCTGCCATGATGGTGGAAGGATTAGGCAGTGGTGGAAAAGATGAAATGGAAGGAAAGAAAAGCCAAATATTAATGTATGAAAAATCAAGATGAAACTGAGACCAGAACTGATGACACAAATGGAAGGTAGCAAGAATGCTTATCTGGGCATATCATGCACCATGTCTGGAACAGATAGATGACATATAAATCTCCACAAAACTTCAAGCAATGCAATACACAATGCATCTCCAACTGTTAAATCAGACCACTTCACTGCACATCTGAGTAACATTAGACATTTAACGTATACTTATCTCCACATATAATACAAACTGACAAATGGAGTAATAAAATGCCTTCAATTTAGATGCCAACTGTATTAAAAATAGGTATACACAAATTCTGAATATTAGAGTTTTAACCGCAAAGAATTCCAGAGTATGTATTATATAGGTTTCCTTTCAGTCATTATACAACAGAATATTTGGATACCGTCTTTTACTTAAAGAAATCAGTTTTGCCATTGGCACGACCAGGACTTGCTTCCACAGAGGAAAATCAATAGAGACAAATAGCTTTCAGCTTTTTTAATAACTAATTAAATCCTGAAGAAAAACTTACTTTGGAGGTGCTTTCTGTCTACTGCTATACCCATAATTGTTATTTCAACTGCCTTTAAGTTACTTCACCGTAAGTGAAAATTTCCCACTATCACACAAAGTAGAAAGACTATATTTTTACTGGCTGAAATTTCCCCACATGACAAAGGGAACAATGAGACCTGAACCTGTATCTCTGTTATTTCAGTCTATGCGAGTGTCACAAAGATTTGGAGACCTAGCACCACCATCCTAAGAAACAGGCATCCCTCCAGTCTTTCCTGTGTTACCTCTTACATAGAGAGACTCTCCACCCAGACATGCACTGCAGAAGCACAAAGTATACCTGCCCTGCAGCTATGCTTTTCTGCTTTACATCTCTCTCCCTCAGTTACAAGTCTCCTGCAAGTAGGACTGCAACTCTCCAAAAGGGCTAAGATCCAACCCAAATGAATTCCATATATTGACTGTAATTAAAAAGAGGCTTGAGATCTTACAACACTTCAGAGCTTAATGTCAAATAGCATTCACACGTCGGCAAGATAAAAGACTGAAATGAACCATGTAGGCATTTGTAATTTTTAAGCACATACATACAGCCTTTGACTACAGAGGGAAACATGTAAACAGGCCTTGCAAAGGCCTATAACTAATGTTAACTTGCCTCTAGCTACATGCTTCAGGCATCCCTTTGAAAACTAGGCTTTCATCAAATTTTCTCTCTCATCTTCCTTGTGTGAAGATGCCGTTAGAAATGTTTCCCAGTTTTTATTCCCATTTTTCTGATGAAACTTTATTGTTCAAAAACAAGAGGCTAGACGGTGAATATTTAATCACGTGGCAACCTGCAAAAGTGTACACCTGTTAAAGATGAGATTTAAAAGATGCTTAAGAACAAAGTAAAGAAAAAGCTATAGAAACATCTGAACTGTTCTTCCACCAGCACATACTCCATTGCCTTCGGTAACGGGCACAGAATCAGGTCCTACCAAAGCAATCCAAGCTACCTGTTGTATTAGCAAGGTGTTGCTTTCATATCTTGATCATTTGTAATTATACCCCCCCGCCCTTCTTTTCAGAATTACTCATTCTCTTGCTCTCATTTAGAATCTCATGACATTGCCAACACTATTTCTTGCCATATGTTGCAATTGCAGAGATTTAGTGTAATTAGTACAAATGTTCTCATACTTCTAAAAGATGTATAATAATTTGAGAAACAACAATAAATACAATTAATCAGAGAAGCACTGCTGGTACTTACAGGCAAAATTCTGCCAAATATGTTACAGAGATGAATCAAGCTGTGTGAAAAAAATATTGAAAATCCAGGAGCTTAAATATGTATGAAAGTGTCCCATTAAGAAGACGAGAAAAATTTAAAGTTTCAAGCTCCAGTTATTTCTAGATTGTTACTATCGTGAGATTTTCCATACGAAAACTCTGGACAAACAGCATTGTTTTTAATTCTCAAGAATAATAGAAGAATAATAGGTAATGAGAAAAGAGTAAACAAAAAACAAGGAAATACAGAGAATACCTGCAGGAAAAATAATTTAGTTTTACAAAGCTTTAGATTCACAAATTCTCAGGTCACATGTAAGAGCACTATTCCTAACTGAACAGATTTAGCATTTTAAAGAAATTTTGAAGAGTTTCATTTTACGTCCTACATAACGTATACAAATGTATCTTCCCCATATGTAGGAAAAGTGCAGAAAAGTTTCTTTCTGTAGAAGAACACAACCCAAATAATTTGGCCAATGCTGGCTAAACTCTCTTCTGCTCAAGGAACCAATAATGTTTAAGCCACTTTCCACCAAAATGGTTATTTCATGTCAATAGGCTGCTCCTATGTACAGTGAAAAAAATAAGCTCTTTCCCATCCTTCGGAACAGATAACATAACTACACTTCATAAATATTACGAATACAGTAAGGCCTTACTATAAAATGTTATGAAAATAATGCAGCAGGTTGAAGAAGGATTGTCCTACTATATGAAGAAGCTTCTGGAACAGTGTAATTTCCACACTGATTTCTTTCATTATCTCTTTTTTGTAGCTGGCCTTAAGGGAAAAAAAACAACACAGGAGGGCACTTGGAGGAAACTGGAGTTTTCCTTCATTTCTATTATCTCTGATTTCCAATTTCTGCCTGAAATTGTTGGCAAAGGTGTACAGCTGAACAGCCTAATTTACTACCAGGGAATTAAACCAATGCATTCCCTGTCCAGCTCGACGGCATACAAAAGCATTCCTTACCCACTGCCAAGAACCAGAGACTGCTTTAAACAAATGCCACAATTACACACATTGGAAGCTACTGGAAGGCTCAGACAGCGACACTTGGAAAGTAAAGACGAGTACAAGAAAATAACCGCTTCATGGAGAGAAACTGATCAGACATTCCATTCTACAACTGAAGCAGAAGCCAACATAAAATTTTAATAACTGCTTGCTTATTACAGTACCACTACAGGAACAAGGAGCCCTAAAAAAGACCACCATCCCAAAGACATATTTCTAAGCAAACCTAGATCTAACTTTTCAACTTCTATTTCCTTCTTTAAACTTAACTGAAATAGAATATAATAGAAAGTGTACAAAAAAAAAGAGAAAAGAATAAAATAAGGTTCTGATTTTTCTAAGTCTTGGTTTAATTGCCTCTGCTTTCACTAAGGCTACGGGAACAGTTCCCTAATTTTCCATTGCTCTACTTTAAATTGACCAACAGGTAAACCTGCAGCATTTTTTATTTATTTATTTTTAGAAATTGCCATGCAGGTATGTCAAAGATTAGTAGAGATCAAGGGCCTTGCCTGGAATTTTACATTCAGGATCAGATATAAAAATCCACTTTACTGCAAAGAAACATTCTGGTAACACATGTATTGGCTTCCATTGACTCTACATTAAATCACACAAGAGATCTACAGCACAACTATGGGAAGATGAAAGCCTCCCAGCTTCCCTTCACAGGGAGGAATAATCATATTGATATGACCACATTACTATCAGGAATAGCTTATAGACCACTAGTTTACTTTACACAACAGCTTTATGCAGGAAAGTGCTGGAATGAATAATGATAGATTAGAACAGATAAAGAGCTCCAAACAATCAAGTGGAGGGAAAACCAATGAAGCCCTGGCAGTCTTAACCCAACCCAGGTGACTAAAGTAAACCAAATTTGTGTGCTCATCAAAGAGTCAGCCTGTTAGTGTCCTGGCTGTTCTACCCTCAACAGTGACTCCACATCATGCTGAATAGTTAGGTTGCCCAATCTCTCTGCCATCCAGTTTACAATATAGCTACTCCAGAAGACCATTATATAATGCAATAAATAATGATGACTAACGCGAGTAGTAGTGTTTGTAGAACTTTTCTACATACATCCATACTACAGGAACCATATGTAAAGTATATCTGTGTTGCATTCAAAATTTTGCTTTAAGCATTGGGTTGGACTTTTAACTACTGAATTAATGCCTGTCATGGTTTTATGTTTTTTGGTTTTCAGTATTCCGCACCATAACGTCACGTAGTGCACTGGGAGTTAAAGTGTTAATGCTCCAATTCCAGGTACCCATCCCTGTACATTACGGAAGTCACGGGATCTGGCCCTACCGGGTGGGGCGCTCTCTCTTACTGCCTTGCAATGGCTGCTGGAGGGTGCTTTCCTAGCCGTTCCAAGCTTTTCAGGTTTGACTTGGTCTTAGGAACTGTCTCTCTCTCCTATCTTAGATTTATTAGTTTCAATTTCAATTAGATTGTATTATATTATGTTATCTTGCATTCCGATATCATCGTTAGTAAAAGAAGTTTTCTTCTATAGACCGTTGCAGCTATTTTTTCTTCCTTCCTTGAGCCCAGCTCCCATCTCCTTGTCCCTTTTCATTTTCTCTTCCCATTTTGTGGGGCTGGGGAGGAAGGGGGGGCAGGGACCTACTGCCCCCCTGTCATGGGCATAGATTAATCTAGTTAACTCTGCGACAATGCCAAAAGAAGTTGATTTGTTGAAAAAGCCAGTAGTGCTTGACACCAAACACAAAGACTGTCTGCTGGCTTAACTTAGGTGACTGGTAAAGGCCTATGGTGGGCAAAGACATGGTTACAACATGGTCCTATCATGACAAACTTTGATAAAGAGTCTGTCCCCTTCTTTCTTATAGCCCCTCTTTAGATAGTGAAAGGCCACCATCAGGTCTCCCCAGAGCCTTCTCCTCCCCAAGCTGAATAGCCCCAGCTCTCTCAGCCCATGTTCTCAGGGAGGTGTTCCGCCCCTTGGATCATTTTTGTGGCCTTCTTCTGGATGCAAGCCAAGAGGCTGACATGCCTTCATCTACATCAGGATGTAGTACTCTAGGTGAGGTTTTGCCAGTGCAGAGTGGAGGGGCTCCCACACTTTGTTTGATGCAGCCCAGGATACAGTTGGCTTTCTGGGCTGTCTTATGTCCAGCTTGCCATCTCCCATATCCTTTTCAACAGGGCTGTGCTCTATCCTTTTGTTGCCCAGTTAGTAGTGATATTAGAGATTATCATGACTCAAGTGCAAGATGTTGCACTTGGCTTTGTTGAACTTAATGAGGTTCTCCTGGGCGCACTGCTTGAGCCTGTGTAGGTCTCTGGATGGTATCCCATCCCTGAAGTGCATCTACAAGGGCTCATTTCAGTGAAAGGATGAATAACAGAAAGCACATTCTTTGGGATGTGCCCTGGGATAATGGAATGTGATAATGCTGCAGCCAATTGCAACCACAGCAAGTTCCTGAGCATGTAGATTTGGCATGGTAAATCTTAGCACTGTAGCCCTAAGAGTCTGCTCATAACAATGCAGTAAGGAAAGTGGTTCTCAGAGGAAAGATGTCATTGAGTTGCTATTTTACTTTCTGATCAGTTCTTCACTCCAGTAAGGCTCCTGATGAAGTATATGAAATAAAATGACAAACTGCAGTAGTCAAATGATATGCGACATTGAAAAGTCTGTTTCATGAAGTAGCACCTAAAGAATCGTAAAACTGCAAAAACAATGCAGGTACAATAAGCCTTTGGGATGATTTATACACTTTCTTTAAATGCATAATGTATACGCAGTAACTGAACCAAGGTGAAACCATAGGGACTTTCAGTAGCATACTGAATTAATGTACCAATAACAATCTATTGAATAATTGGTCCATTTTTTTGTTTAAATTGTGAGCATAAATGTATTCAAGACCTTCTATTATACAGCACCTGTTTTAGAGGTCTGGGACACAATATACCCATCTCCTGATACTCTCATTATAGCCTAGTCACATACTGTTACACAGATGAACCATTCTTACTTATTAATATTCACCTCAACTCATTTTACAGTTTGTTTCATTCAAGGCTACAGCATGATTCTGGGACACGTTAAATTTAATGATATCATATGCAATGGAGTTCTGCATATTTGGTAACAAGAGTTCCTGGACTTGTACTTTCAATAGTTTCATCTCTCCACAAGCAGATTTATTTCAAACCCTGAAGAGGCTCACATAATGCACTTTCTTCCTCACAACAGAATTATTATGAGTTAATTACTGCAATGTGATAGACAGAAGGAAACAAGCACCCTTCTGCATTAATATTCAAACACTTAAGATTCAAACCTTCCCGCCTCTAACAATTATATTATCAAAGAGCTCTACCCTAGAGAGTGAAGCAAGAGCCAATAGAGCATTCATTCAGCCACAGACCCTGACAATCCATTTGGATCATTTTGCAATTCTCACCCTTTGAGACAAAGAAGATCTTGTGCCTTGCATTTGAACATATTCTAACTTTGATGCAGATGCTTAAGGATATTCAGAAGGGGAAGAGAGAATGATGAATGCTGGTCAGGAATTACATGAAGGACTGGCCAGACAATGCAAGAAGCCTTCTTCACTGCATGCCAAGTGCTGCCTCTAGCCCGTGGAAGAATTTCGGGAGTTTAACTGTTAAAATGGAAGGTATGAATGATGCAATGAATCAGAATTGGGAAGGAAAAAATATTGAGAAAAAAAAAATCAGAACAGATTTCAACTCTGCTGCACTGCACTTTGTTGAGATTTGGCTACACAGCCTATTTTGCCCCGGCCAGACTTACTCTAGGTCTTAAGCCTTTGTCTCTTCTGCCTAGCAACTTTTGACAACTTTCCCCATCCCTTATTGTGAGGTAGCCCTCTGCCCCAGCCACAGCTCACCTTTCTGTCCTACCTTATGGACCTGTTTCTGCCTTGAAGGGAAGTGAATAGAAGCTGCTTGTGTAGCCTGCCCTGAGGCACTGCCAAGCAGCTGCCTCCCTCCCTGTGCCACCTCCTCTGTTCACATTCTCAAAGAATTTCAGGCAGCTGAGGGGTTTGGACTACCTCAGACCTGCCAAACTAGTTATCATACAACTAAGTCACAGTCTTGGAATGAGCAGAATCAGGCCAAGTCTGCTTGCAAAAGAAGAAAAGGGAAGGGGGATAATACCAGATGGATGGCAAGGAGGAGAGGGGTAGTGGGACAGTAGGATGACTATGAGAGATATGTATGGACAATTAGTGACTCAGCCCCTCTGCACAGCTCATCTTCAACTCCACCTCTACTGCTGGAAACCTCATATCCTCATAACCTCAACATATAACCAAAAGCCTTGACCTTGTCTGCTAATGAATTTCACCCAATCTTGACTTCTATCATCGCAAGGATTTTTTTCTTACGTATGCCACCTCCCTTGCTGCAAGATACTTTATACTTTGTTTTCAGCATTGTAAAAGGGGGAAAAAAAAATGAGCAGACTTAAAAACCTTACATCTCTAATGTTACAGCAATTTTCATATGATCTCAAATCAGAACAATCTCAATACATGTCTGCATTGAGCCAACATTTGGAAATATTCAGCACCATCACACTATCATTTGTTTTCAGGGAATGAAGTTTATGCCGAGCAATACAGACCCTATTCTTAGCACAAATTACCTTAGCTCTAGCTCCTGACTGAGGCTTTCTTTTATGTTCAAGAATGAAATTATATCCAACTTTGAGCTGATCTGCTGGATAGAGTGGAAACTCACCCTTTCAGGATAGAGATCCTGTTCTATTATTAGAGTCCATCATGCAGTACTAATGCATGAAGTGCTAGAATCATTAACCTTGAGTTGTTTTTCTTCTATAACAAAGCCACAGATATTAATTCATAGAAAATGCTGTAGAAAGAAACAGATGCTGTCGTTTTTATAAAATCTCAACAAAGCTTCTAGGGATACGAAGGAGCACTGTTTCCTAAATTGTGACAAAGGACATGAAGGTGGCTGGAAATTTATGCCAATATCAGATTGAGAACTGTTGTAGGAGATGCTGTGATATGAACATGTACATAAAAAATATCTACTAATCACTCACCTTTTCTTCATTACCAGCACAACCCCCAGAAATATAATGACGAACAGCAAGATGCCTGCAATGACTCCAGCAATTTTAACAGTATGGTCGGTCTGCTTCTCAGGCTCTGGGTCTGGTTTTCGAGTAGCAGCCCCTATGGAATAAGTAAAAGGAGAAGGAAAAAGAATAAGGACGTTACTCTTGCCATTTCTATACACTTATTGATGCCATTAATCCTAACCAGAGCCAACAAATACTAATTTGTGATCTTTCTAGAGATAAATCCTGCTTTCATATGCATTGACAGGAATATAATATAATTTTTCATATTGTTTCCTGAATTGTCAGACCACAACACAGGTAGGATATCACAGTCAGTCCTGACCCTCTTGTAAGAGCCTTTTCACAGTCTCACAAATTCCTATATTTTTATTATCTCTTCTGGCTCCCCTTTCTTTCTGCCATTTAGAAACTTACAACACAATAACTATCCTAAGCCTTTATCCAAATTTGATTTGCTGGAACATTTTCCTCAATTATTTTTCATAAATGAAGCTGTAATTTCATAATATATTAGCTTAAACACCTGGAAAAGTGAGATAAGCTCATTTACTATGCATTTTACCCACAATTGTTTTTTTACACAATAGACTTTTTTTTTGCCTTTGGAAATCTAAATCTAGGTCACATCTGGTAGGCAAAAAGACTCCTAAACAATTTATTCACAAAGTGGGAAGCAGCTGATGATCACACCACTGGCACCCACATTTAATATCTGTTTAAATGAGATAACCAGTGCCTTACAGCATCTACTGTCTTAGCTCTTTCAGCTTCTCCATTTTAAAAAAATAACATCGTTTGTACTGTTTACTGTATAATGTGATGGAACGTCAAATCCATGTCTGATGAAATATCCATTTCCTCTACTAAATGAGTTCAGGATGAAAAAAATGTTAAGGAAGCAACATTCAATTCACTGAACTGAATTTTTTTTTTTAATGGACTTCATTTTTTTTTTTTTATTTTTTAAATCAAAATGTGACAGTATTCATCATTTGAGGCACCCTGCCATAACATGGACACGGAGATTTATGCACCACTCTCCTACTATAGCTCATCCTGGGAAGGGGAAAGGCAGAGCAAAGTCTAACTTAAGTGTAGTATTTTCAGACCATGTTCTTATCTCACTGCCCAGGTTCCACAAAGGTTTAGAAAGCATCAAATGTATTTTATTTGATTCTGCATTTCCTTTTTTTTTTTTTTGTTGAAAGAAAGCAAGTCGGTGATCAAATTCAGAAAATTTTTGCATATAGAATTACAATGAAAAGTTTCTCATGTTCTCACTCACAAGCAGGATGTTCCAGGATGGTTGTTCTGATTGCCCGCAGTTACATTCATGGCCTATTTCTTCCAAATTCCACTAGGAATGTGTGGAAAACCTGGCAATTGTTATTGGTGTCATAAAATGGGTCCTAACACATAATCAAAATATATCTAGAGCTAACTGTGAGTACCAGGTTTTTTTTTTTTAAGTAATCAGGCCATGGTTCTTCGTGTGAGTGGTAACTCAGAGAAAGGTGATCTGCTACATATCTGTGTCCATTCCCAACAGAGTATTAGTTCTATAGCAATGAATTGCAATTCTCTATTAATAAAATTTTTATTCTAAATGTGCAGTCATAACAGAAGCTATCCCTATATTTTCTTCTGTGCATATGCATGACAGTTCTATTTTTAACTTCCTTATGTCATAGATAAATGATTTTAAAATCTATACTGCTCAGAAGTGTACAAGATATTTAGAAAACACCCAGTGTATCATCTTGCAAAAGGCAGCTGTTGAATTGGATTTGACAAAGAGGAAGCAGTGAATCAAGCAGTATGATGCAAAGAGCAGGAGATGAGAAGGACGTTGCAGAGCTCTTTTAAACCGAAGACCCAAATGAAGAATGCAAAGACAACAAGAAGCAACACCATTTCAGGTATAACTTCTAAGACTGGTTCCTTCCAATGTCTCTTCATCATCACCTACTTCAAGCTACTTCACCCTACTGGACCACTTACAGTAACACCTTCTTAAAATTTGCCTTGTGGTTTCCTTCCATTAACGATTTCAATGTGACTTTTGGGAAGCTCAATATTAAAGTTAGCGAAGACATCCTTGCACCATTTTAACATACAACTCAACTATCCTATCCATTTTATCTCATTGTCCTGTCTCTCTTTGACACAGGATCCTCATTTCATCAGAACTACCTAGAGTTGCACAGTGCAGAGATAGTACCAGAGAATACAAATGTTTTCCTTGTATCTCGGAGCACAACTTTCATGAAATGCCTTCAGTGCCAAAACATTACCCTCTTGTAATGCATTACAAGCTGCAGAATCCACCTCTAACACAAACTCTCAAAACAAATTGTAGACAAGGAGAAAAACAAAGTCTAACATTAGGATACTGAAGCTCCCATACTATATCACATAGTGATTACCCAATTGAGTAACCATCAGAAATTTTCTAAGAAAATTACATATAGTGCCACTCTGAGGAAAAAAACAGAATTGTTTACCACCATGATGGACTCAGCCTGACTCGCACAAAGGACTGTCTTAACCTGGAAGTATGTTGTGTGACATCCCTTTTAAAAAAAACTAAAATTAACCATTATTTAAAAAAAAAAAAAAAAAAAAAAAAAAAAAAATACTGGTATTAACTTAGTTCTCATTTGGTCTCATCGAGCATTTCATTCATTCACGGAATGTTCTTAGGGCCAGCTGATTTGACAATCCACTTGGGTAAAAGAACCAAATTTGCCACTTTCCACTTTGCTTGAACACCTCTTTTTAAAAAGAATATTAGAAATTCTGGATCAACATTTTCTCCATTTTTATTTAAACTGTTTATTCCTTTAGTGTACCTCAGTTTTTCTTAAAACCTTAAAAATTAAAAAATTGATTCTATTGCATTCCACCCCATACTTCAGCCCCTTTAGCATAGTCTGGTTGTACTTTGACAGCAGGCAGACACTGAAGAGCTTGCATCTGCAGCAGTGAAATCTGCATCCATTTCTTCAGTGCAGCAACCAATTTTGAAACCTCCATGAATGAAAAACTCTTCAAATTTACCTCCAATGAACACTATCAGGACTGAAGTTCAAGATGATACTGCCTCTTTATTCAGTTTGGTTTTGTTCTTCATTAATCCACATCACCTAGCATCATGATCAAGAGCTGCTGCCTCAACTCTGACTCTGCCAGCTATTTAATGTGTTAAACCCACAAGTACACTAACTATTATAAAAGTTTCATTTTACTTTTCTTTGGTTCCTGTTTAATAGGTAGATCTTGGTCTAGAGTTACAATTCATCTCTCATCTTGTAATTGCATAACTGACTTCTAATCTGTAGGCACATCACGATTTGCACTGGCATTACAGAGAGGAAGGCAAACAATGTGTAAGGGGATGCAAGTTGCCAGAGGCAGTAGTTCTGAAATTAATTTTACTACTTGACAGACTGTAATGGCAATTTGTGCTTTTAGTTTCGTTTGCATGTTTCCAAAATAAACTTAGAAAGTCTTACTGCAAGTTTAAAAAACGGTCATGGGTTTTTTCTTTACTGTACCACCGTTCTAAAAAACATGACAAAATGTAACCTTTTTTTACAGTAATAGTATTAAATATACACTATATCATGATATTATAGCTGTTTCAAATAATTTGTCTGATACAGCCATTTTAAAATCCCTTGCTTAAGCTAGAGGATTTAAAAATGTATACCAACAAGACCAATGGACTCCTACATCTCCAGCAGATCATCTGTCTTAAATCATAGAACGGCTTGGGCTGGAAGAGACCTCAAAACCCACTCAGTCCCATCCTGTGCCATGGGCAGGGCTGCCCCTCAGCAGCTCAGTTTCCCGGGGCCCCATTCAGCCTGGCCTTGAGCACCTCCAGGGATGGGGCACCACAGCTTCTCTGGGCAGCTGTGCCATGGCCTCACCACCCTCTGAGTAAACAATTCCTAACATTTAATCTAAATCTCTCCTTTTCTAGCTTAAAGCCATTTTCCCTTTTGTCCTATCACTGTCCATCCATGTAAAAAGTTAGTTCCTCTCTTGCTACAAGATTCCTTCAAGTACTGGAAGGCTGCAACAAGGTCTCCCTGGAGCCTTCTCTTCTCTAAGCAGAGGCAACACTACTCCTTCAGCCTTTCTTCATCAGAAGATGTGCTACAGCCCTTTGGTCTGCTTGTTGCCAACATCTGAGCTAAGCCCACTGCTTTTTCCTCACAACGCTAGACCAAATGATGTGATAGCTTTTTGTTTGCCTGACTTTTAAGTTTCTGATTCTACCTTTGTATACAGCAGCCTGACTTTAAACCTTGCACAGTAACCTCACTTCAAGCTGGAACAATCGGGATAAATATATCCTGACCACACATACTGTGGTGTCCCTCTGGAGAGGCAATAGGTCAGTAAAAAGCAGCAAGTACAGGACAGCTCAAGGGAGCTTCCTAGGAAATGAAAGGACAAGGAAATGTTTCCTGACAGTTCACAAAGGATCAAGATGCTGACCTCAGAAAGTCCTTAATTGATGAGAGCAAACTCTCTGCCAGAAGCGAAAAAATTGAGATACACTTATAGATAATCCCCATGATGTCACAATATCTAGCAAAGTACTTCCACAGGCTTCCTGCAGTGAATAAAAGAAAGACAGAAACATTGTTTGGTTCAAAACCCTTAGATATCTACCCTCAGTTAATCTGAAGAGTTTCCAACTTTCTTTTTCCGTATTTCTTCCCCATTCTTTGTGGCCTTCAGTTCAGTAGCATTTAAGATGTGAAACTTCATTTTTTCCTTAACTCACAAATAATTGCCCTTCAACTGTCTGACTTAAGACTTGCCCTCATGGTGCCCCTTTTGTTCGGTATCTTGCAAGACCCAGTGATTACATTTTTAAGTAATGCCACAGAACACCTACTTATTTTTGACTCCCAGACCTATCTCACCAGTATTTTCTTTATATTGGAATCTCCTTTTCTGCAGTTTAGCGCTGAAAGAAATACTTTTTGGTGTCTTACCAAATCCTCCTCTGATTGAGAAGTGAACTATATTCCTGTCATTGGTATCTAACATCTACTGTAAGATGAATTCTTG